TGATTATTAATTAAATTATAATTTATGATTTTGTGTTTCAAGTTTTTATCATATCCGGAATGTTTAATAGACTCTTGTTCGGACAGATTTCAGTGAGTTATTCCTAAAAATTACAGCCTACAATTAAAAACTACATATTTCCATGCAAAAAAATGGTACCGCTTTCAGCACAAAATTCCTGACATGATCATACCGCCAGGGAGGTTAAGAAAGGAGATAAAACCTTTTTTAGGTACATTAGTGATAGAAAGAAAAAATATGATGGGATAACTAAAATGAAAACTGGGCACAACACTTATTAAATTATACTAACAATAAGTTAGGAAATCATATTGGTTCTAGTAATGATGGATAATTTTTAGGATTTCCGGAGACAGAGGTAGCGGAGGAACTGGCTTGGTTAAAGATTAACCACTTCCAGACCGGACACTTTTACCCCCTTCCTGACCAGGGCAATTTTCAGCTTTTAGCGCTATCACACTTTGAATGACAATTGCGCGGTCATGCAACACTGTACCCAAATGAATTTTTTACCATATTTTTGAGATAGATAAAGCTTTATTTTGGTGGTATTTATTCACCACTGGGATTTGTATTTTTTTTGCTATGTAAATGAAATGTCCAAAAAATTTGAAAAAAAGTGTTTTTTTTATAAAATTTTGCAAATAAATAATATTTCATCATAAATATTAGCCAAAATTTATTCCGTTATCTTTTTAGTAAAAAAAAAAAAAAATCCAAATTAGTTTATAAGCAAAAATTATAATTTTTAAACATTTTTGTTTACATTTTTATTTTATTTTTTTATATTATTATTTTATTTTTTTATATTATTATTTTTTATTTTTATTTTATTTTTTTTTACATACTGTCACCCTAGCAGTACAGTGTCACCATGGTGACATTGTACTACTTGTGAGGGGTGATGATTTTTTTTTTTTTTTTTACACGGATTGCTTTTACACCCATATAGGATATAAAAGCAATCATTTCTCTTCTTCTCTCTGTGTGCATTGCACTCATTGAAAAGAACTGAGTGAGCTGTGATTGGTCATAGCTTGTCACATGGTACAAGGCTGTTGTGAATAGCCTTGTACCATGTGACCTCTGTGATCATTCACAGATTTCACACATAGTAAGCAATGATGTCAGAAGTGACATCTTGCTTACTACTTTGCATGTGATCACTGATTGGCCAATCAGTGATCACATGATCGGGACCTCGTACAGAGGTCCCGTCCGACGATCGGTGTTTCACTGTGTCCGGAGGACACAGCGGGCACTGGATCGCGGTGCTGCGCGCTCCCAGGGAGCGCGCACAAGCAGGGTGCGGGGAGGCCGTTTATAGACGGCCACCCGACCCTGCAGTGCCACTGTCCGGCCGTTTATATACAACGGCCGGTCGGGAAGTGGTTAATAAAACAATGAACCCTGATGGTATTCATCCCAGAGTTCTAAGAGAACTTCGAAGTAGAGTTGTTGGACCATTAACTGATCTTTTTAATCAATCTCTTCTAACAGAAGTTCCCCATGACTGGCGGACAGCTAATATTGTACCTATCCACAAGAAGGGCAGCAAGGTAGAAGCTGGCAATTACAGGCCAGTGAGTTTAACATCGATTGTGTTGATGTTAATAGAATCACTCCTGAAAAAGAAGGATCATTGATCACTTAAAAGCACACAACTTGCGGGATCCAAAGTAGCATGGCTTTACTGAGGGCAGATCATGTCAGACTAATCTGATTGGATTTTTTTACTATATTACCAATGTTTTTGACCAAGGTGGTGCTGTGGACATAGCATATCTTGATTTCAACAAGGCATTTGATACAGTTCCACATAATGATCTAATACAAAAGTTGTACAAGCTAGGACTTAGCCCTTGGGTGGTTCAGTGGATATGCAGTATATATACTGCATATTGAAATGCTTTTTTTAACAATACATTTCAAATATACTGTATGTCTTTAAAAATACAAATCTACATTTTTGGAATGCATTTACAAATATATGTAGAAATATATGTTAAAATGACTTTTTTATATGTTAAAAAAATCTGAAGAATATATTTAAAAAATATATATTTTTAAATATATTCTTCAGACTGTTCCAGGCTATGAAGTTATAGCTATGATGGGCAGAATTCTGCCTCAATGAACTAGTAGCTCTCAGAAAGCCAATCAGATTAGTTGAGAGGTGTAGTAGTATAAAAGAAGTGGTCCAGATTCAGGATAGTTTGTGGGGGCAATACTGAGCATGGCAGGTGAGTCTATGAGATTATAACAAAATCAAGGTTGGGTGTACATATCCTGGGCCAGTGGGTATTCTGCCACCACCTTGAGACTTATATTAAGTTTTCAGGGATCACCACCCAAATACCAGCTGAAAGTAGGTGTGTGGTTCAGAGATGACAGAACCAAGCTTATGTGAGTTGCCTCACAGAATGAGGCAGTATGGCAATGGACATGTCTCTAAACAAACAGAAAAATCGTGAAAAGCCTAAATATGCGATTAGAGATCATTGTACAACATCAGAATGTGAACATGGAGGCCACAAAAGGGGTCAGTTAGACTGTTACAGGTGTAAGAAAATGTAAGATGGGGAAAACTAAAGTTTGTATGAAGGCAGAGGGTGGGGGTGTGATGCAATACAAAAAGTAAGGGAGTAAATTCTCACCCTCCATCATGAATACTCCACTGGATCCAAAAAAGAAATCAAGGGAAACCCTCTGTATAGACTGCATGGTTCAAGATGCTAAGGAGGACATACTAAACCCAAGGGGGCCTTTAGTGCTTATGTTGAATGTTTTCTGGTTGAACAGATCATGAGTGAATACAGATCTGCTGTTCCAGTGGCATCGCTGCTTGCAATCAACACTGGTACAGAGTTTCCCAGGCAAGCATGTGACATAGCTATTTCTACAACTGAGGTGGTGTTATATTTTGCATGTCATAGGAGCATAGTGTCTGGGGGAGTTCCTTGAATGATTTGGCAAGATTTGCAGCTGTGCACCATTAAGGATAATTTGACTCCATTACCAGGTCTTTCAAAGGATCGCCTTGTTTACTGTGAAAAAAATGGACCCGGCATAGTACAATGTGGAATCTGTTGTCATTTGTCCCTATGGACCCTGTCTATCTTAATGTCAGTGGGTCTGATGCTTTCTATTAGCTGGCTGAAGATATCCTGGATACTGACCTTATGCTGTGAGGCTGGATTAGGTTCCAGAAAGCCCTTGTTTCTCAGATTGTTTCCTTGGCTGCTGTCCTAAAGATCCTCAAGCTGCAGATGAATCTGTGTGAGCTTGGCAACAATCAATGTATTGAACCTTTCCAGGTGATCTATGTGGTCCAACATTTTGTTTGAGTCTGTGATATCTCCTGGAGCTGTATGGTTAGGTCACCAACGGCCTGTTGGAGCAAGCTTATGTCTTTTTATATTGCATTCTGCACTATGGTGACGAATGACTTGAAATCTGCCTTGGATGAAATGTATGTTGTATTTTAGGAGAGAGTACAGGTTGCCCAGAATGTCCGTTGGCCATTTGGAAGTGTCGTGTAAAGAGAGGTCCATTCATTTCCATGGATTTCAGTGTTTTCTTTACTTTTCAAGAGATATTCTTATTATCTGAGTATTCATTGAAGGATTGTTTTTTGTTATCCTTGAACAGAAAATCAACAGAACATTTCTGTTATTCATACATATTTTTGCAGTGACTCATAACTGACCTTTGACATAGCAAAATGGTTTTCTGCTTACATATTAATACTTCCAATTGTGCAGCAATGACACAAAATTGTCTCTGTATTATACTGTGTATTCGCTTTATATTTCAGGCAACAATAAGTTGTGATGCTGTAGTCTGCTAAAAGTTGGAACTCCATTTTGTCAGTGTTGCCAATCTGTTCATGTCGGTCATGAACAGTCAGTCTGTCAAAATAAGGTTTTCTTCAAACCACAGTCCTACCATTTCCTTCCCCATTGACCAGAATTTACAGGCTCGGCTGTAAAAACTTCTCAAACAAAAGCTTCTCAAACAAAGGACCAGTATACAGTCCTTTAGACTTTAGGAGAGCTGGATTAGGGCTAGTAAGGATAGAAAATGTTCTGGTCCCAGCATCAGTGAGAATAAACATGGCCACAGGGTTGATGGTCAGTAGGAGGAGTAGTGCCCCATCATTGGTATTAGTGGGAAGAATAGTACACCATCATTGGTTTCAGTGGAAGAAGTGCTTGCCCCATTGTTGGTCTCAGTGGGAGGAATAGTGCCCCAAGGGCTGAATAAAGGGTAGCAAAGGGTCATATCCAGCCCTCAGGCTGCAGTTTGGAGACACCTGCACAAGAACATGGTGTCAGAACACTCTATCATGCTGGGCAAGGCTCAAAATTAGGCATGTAATTATTTTAAGACTAACTGTACATATTTTATGGTGTCTAATATTCCTAAATGAGTTCTGTGGTCACAACATACACTTTTATTTTATAACTTCAGTAATATAATAGCAATACAAACTATAGTTATAGTTGATAATCCAATAAAAGGTTTACTTGAAAAATCTCCTTTCATGTTGCCTGTCTGTTGGTCATCTTTCCACAGTTTCTTGGATTCCCTGCATGCTTTGCAGCTTCTCCTCTGCTGTTTATTTCAATTTCTAATGACTAGATATCCCATGGTAGCTTGCTGCCTGCAAACAATGATTCCTATACTGATTCCCCCTCCTGAAACTCCTCCTCTGCACTCTATAGGGCAGAAGGCAGGCTCTGTGAAATGTGTGACACAGCAGTGCCTACTCACAGGACATCTTGAATACGTGTCATAGAATTCAAATAAGTAAATGACTGTGATTTCTTCACAAAGAAAGTTTACTTTCTTCACAAAGAAAGTTTACTTAATATTGTTTGGATTAATAGGAGTACGCTAGAAATAACTGAAATACAGTGTGGAAATTAATATTATGATTTTACATTTTAACTATAGATAACTTTAACTTTTAATAGATTACAGCCGTTATAATTGAATTGAAACATCTGAGACAAGCATATAATGGGATTTTAAAGAATTCTCTGAATCCTGATGACAGAGATGCAATGGTTTGGATAAGCAGAGTACAAGCAATTAAGGTAAGAGTTCATATAGCTAAGATTTTCCATAAGAGAAAACTGTTCCCCAATTCTATTACACTTCAAGAATTCCAGTAATTGTGGACAACATGAGTGAATTGAATTGTTTATACCTGGGGCGGACTGACAACTCATGGGGCCCCCGGGCAATAGGGGATCATGGGGCCCCTGTGTCCTTGCCCAAACTCAAAAAAGCCTATGAAAAAGGTACCAGGGACATATCATGGGGCCCACTACTGACCCCCGGGCCCTCGGGCAGTGACCGACTTTCCAAATGGTCAGTCCGCCCCTGGTTTATACTCACCTTGGTGCCTTAGATTCCTTAATATGAAGCTTTAGAGTACCAGTTCCAAAGTTCTTTCTGAACACTGATGTTTTAAAGGGGCATATCTACTACCTGTTTGGCCTTTACTTGTGTACAGAGACCCAAAAGCACCACGGTGACCCAATAGCAGTTTTCCCATAAAAAGGCAAGTTGTCAGGGTAGAAGAGGGTCTTCCCTTGCAGTGTTGATTGCCTATGCTGCTTTGCATTGGAACCTCATCCTTTTAAGAGTTTTTTCATACCAGTTCAGTTAAAGTGATACTAAACACACGCTGTTTAATTTACATTATCCCTTCTCTTTCTGTATATAGATGATGGCATTGTAATTGTTTTCATAAAAAAAAAAACAGCTGTCATATGACCCAGCTTTTTCCCAGCCTGTCTGCAGGAAAACATAAGCAGGAGGAGCTTCTAATCCTCTGCTGCTGGTCACTTGTTCAAAATATAAAAAACAGCCTTTGGAATACTGAGAACATATAAATAAATAATATCAATAAACTGTTTTAAATTGGCATACAAATATATTTTTCAAATCAAATCTTTAATATTTTGTGGAAATAACATAGTGTGGGGGATTTCTGCCAGTCACAGGCTGTGTCACATCCCTCTAGCCTGTGTCTTAGAATAAGAGGGAGGTGAAGCTTCCATCAATCTGCATGTAATATCCAAACTCCATTGTGTTTAGCTGGTTAGTGGGCATGGAGGAGGAGAGAGGGAGTGGGCTGTCATTTACCACTGTGTATACATCCACATTTGTGACTCTATAGCCACTTTGGCTGCTCAGATGTGATAGGGAGGAAATGCTTAGCATAGAAACTCACTGAAAACTGAGCATGTGCAGAGTTGCCCCTACAGCTGCAAAATCCCTAGCTGAAATACGGATATGAACAGAAGGTGGAGATAGAGTACAGTGGGATCAACCAGGTTTTTTTCAAAATACATAAAACAAATCTCATAGTAACTGTGTGTGAACAGCATGAAATACAGCATATATTGATAGTTTTTTTTGATGATGTGAGTTTAGTCACACTTTAAGCTGTGTTAATTGCCCCAGATCAATATAGGCTCAATAGTTTTCTATGTGCCCTGTTCACATCACAATGCTGCCTTGAGGCAGTTTTCAGTGAGTTGCATAAAAATGCCGATGTGATGCATTTTTTCATAGTGCACCAGCGCTCACCTGAAGTCACTGTCAATTACTGTACCGCAGTGGAGCTTATAAATGAAATAAATGTCATTTTAATATGTCAATAAAGTTCAAAAACAGGTAAACATCACCTTTCACTGTAACAACACAAGGCATGGCCTTCACCACCCATATACATCAAATACCAGATTTAATGCTAAAACTATGTTTAGCACTTCTGCCTGGCAGTACTAGGTTCATTGGTTCGAATCCCAACCATGGCACCACCTGCTTGGAGTCTGCATGTTCTTCCTGTGCTTGTGTGGGTTTCCTCTGGGTACTCCGATTTCCTCCCATACTCCAAAGACATGCTGGTAGGTTAATTGGTTCCTGTTTAAATTGGCCATAGTATGTAGCAATATGATTTAGGGACCTTAGATTGTACGCCCCTTGAGGGTTAGGGACTGATGTGAATATAAATATATATATATATATATATATATATATATATATATATACATACATGTAAAGCACTGCGTAAATTGACAGCACTATATAAGTACCTGTTATAAATAAATAAATAAACTGGTAGTTCTAGTGTGCAGCCAGTGTAAACGAGCGCTAAAGGTGCCTTAAGGGCAGTGTTGTTCTTTACAGTCTAATGGATCTTGCAATATAGGAGCAAAGCAAGCCAGTAGTGCAGTTTATAATAGTGTATTCCTTTTCAGTGTTATTAAAGCAGTAAATAATTATATGTGTCAGCAGGAGAAGCAAAGATTCTGTATTGTGGGCCCCTAATTACATGGCACACCATTGCAATCCCTTACTGTGATTGTCTCTGTAGTCTCCCTATACTTTGTGCTGGTACCTTAAAAATTGAGTCCCCTGGGAGTTCAAAGAACAGTGTCGAGAAGCACAATTACACCAAGACACTGAAAATACTGACTGGAAACTTAAACTACATGCGCCCCCTAACCACTTTGCAAAGTTCTAACTAAATCCCCCTCCCCACCATACTTAATGTAGACATCAAGCAGGGACTCTGCATATGCATGTGTTGCTGTGTGTGTGTAGACTCATCTCCCCTGCTCTCGCCCTCCCCCCCTTTCAACATAGTGATTGAGAGGATGCAGCCTGTTTTTTTTTTCTCTCTCTCTGCTGGCAGTGTGTTGTCTGTTCTCTTTTCTCTCCCCCCTCCTCTCTGGCAGTCGATTCAGATCCAATCAAGGGACAGGAGAGTCAGAGCCAATAGGAAAAGTCAGAAAGGGATTTTCTGTGCCACATGGCAGTTGTAGTTCTTAAAGGGGCACAGCATAATGTAAGTGGAGGACAGATGGACTCAAAACTACAGGAGCCCAGATCACTATACACAGAGGAGGAGAGACAGGACTGCTTTTTCTGGTCAAAAGATATGCACTGGGTTTTTTTTAAGAAGATAAGCCGAGCTGGGATGACCTGCTGCGGGACCTGCTGCACAGAGAGATCTTGCTGCTGGCACCTAACTGCCTACATCAGAGGGAGGATGGACTTGTTCCTGAGTCTGTCAGCATTTGCCAGAGATCAAGCCACACATGGGAATCAGAGATGAGAGGCTGAGCCTTTGGGACCTGACAGCTGTATCCTCTAACCACCAAGAGTGTGGAATGGGACTTGTCATCTGCCAGGAGTGTTGAGGAAAACCCACATTTAACCTCTTGCTAAACTCATTTCCACATAGATTACACCTTACTTAGTAGCCCTGCAGCCATACACGACTTACTCTTAAAATGACAGGCTTTTGTGAACCACTGACAGAAGAACCCAACCGCAAGCTGGTTAACACTAATATTAAAGCACCAGGTATTTGGGACACCACCATCTAAAGATATCCCTCCCAGGAACACTTACGGATACCCATAACTATGGTATCATAATAGAGTGCACTCAAGAATATTATCACTGAGTTAATTAGATCTGATTTTGCCCATTAATAGTTATTTCAGTTAAAGTTTGCTGCAGTTTAGTTATTTCTGCATGTTATAGGACAGTGTTTATTTTATTAGTTCTGCAACTTGAAGTGTTTATTGCTTGATGCCAAGTCTTGCTTTGTTTTCCTGCTTTGATATAATACACTTAGTTAAAGTGGCTGGAAACCCTTGTACCCAAATAGTCCTATGCAGTCATTAGTGTAATATAAACTGATTGATGTATCCCATAATACGAACATCACTGTTTTTCTACCTTTATTGATTGCCTGTCCTGTGATCACAATCCTCCTCCCTCCTCTGAGAGTATCCGGTGGGCATGTCTCACTTTTGTCTCTCAGTCACCCCCACAAGCCTAAGCAAGGCTAGGATAATTGGTGGAGCTGCTTTCCCTGTCTGGGCTCTCTCATGAATGAAAATGCTTGTGTGTCCTCATTCATGAGAAAGCATGAGGTGTCACGAAAGGTGGAGGGATGGAGAAGGGCTGGGAGAACAAACACTGACAATGGTATGAGGAAGTGCCTGTGTGCAGCCACATTTGGCTGCAGAGCGCAAACATTGTCAGTAGAAAAAGTGTTTCTAATCAGGCATTCAGTAATTTAAAAAAGTGGTTAATATTAAAGTTTACTATATTGCTAAAATAAAAAAAGGGGATTTGTTTTTATTTTTGACTGGAATTCCACTTTAACCTAGCATCTGGTAGTGTTTGGCTAATTTCTGTGCATTATTACATATCTGCGACTTACTAATGCCTAAGTTATCCAAGTGTGCATGGTTCTCCACCTCTAACCGGGTGTGTCAGTGAGGACTGAGCGGTTTTAAGAATCATCGCCAGTGGTTCCTGCTGGGGTAGCACTGTTGGTTATGTGTTAGAGAAGACACTAGTAGCTTGTGATGAGGCAGAACTTGGTTTACTTGTGTGGCTTAAGTTGCAAACATACAAAACATTTCAGCAAACTGTAACAGCAGACATCTTGGTTATGAAGAGAGAGAGAAAAGAAAAAAGAACCAACAAGTTTTACAGATATGCACAACTGGTAACCTTAGTGTACAGTGCCATCTACTGGTCAAGTGATATTAACACACAATACGGTATATAGTACATGCTGTTGCATCCCCAACACCCCTTCTCAACGGCATGTGTATAATTATATGACATTTAGGCTCTTTTGTAGAAAACAATGATGTTCCCTTGGCAAAGGTTTGGTGAGTGCATCTGCAGTCATCTCCTCTGATGGGTAGTACTGGATGTCGATAACCCCTTGTTCTTGTATGTCTCTGAGCAGATGATATCTTACATCAATGTGCTTGGTTCTTGGGTTAATCTTCTCAGAGTGTGTAAGCTTTATGCATCCCTGATTGTCTTCAAAGATGGGTGTGGGTTGTGAAATATTCAGTCCCATGTCTAGTAGAAGTTGACGAATCCAAATGGCTTCTTGACATGCATGTGCTGCTGCTATGTATTCCGCTTCAGTTGAAGAGAGTGCAACAGTCACTTGTTTCCGACTAGACCAGGAGGGAGTTCTGTTAGTGACCAAGTTTTATTTTCTTGAAGTGATTTTATTTCTTCTTCAGGTGCTTTTCTC